GTCGCGTTTGCAAATCAATTAAGTTTCGTTTACAACGCGTCTTGATTCATTGCTGATGTTTGACACTTCTTCGCAATATTCTGTAGTCAATATGGATCCTATGCAGACGCAGAATAGAACATCTTTTAGTGACGATTGCCTCCCCCCCGAAGAGAAATATGAATCACGAGAAGGCCTCTTTCAATCGATTAATGCTTGGGCTGCCCCCAGAGGCTATGCATTTATTAACGGAAGGTCCACCAAAGAAAGAAGCGGTAAACAAACGATAACCTATACTTGTGATAGGCGTCGTAACCACCCTATTATTCAGAGAGAGCGGCGCAGGAAAACAACTACTCGCACAACTGGCTGCGAATTCTCAGTTCTGGGCAAGGAGTCCTTGGACAAAACTACATGGACCGTAAAGCATCGGTCTGACAAACGATTTTGTGTGCATAACCACGACCCAAGTTGGGATCCGACGGCACATCCAATACATCGAACCCTCTCCAAGGAAGGTGCATCCCAGGTAGCGACTCTTACAAATGCGGGTATAGCTCCAAAGGGCATTAGGACATATATCCGCCAAAACACAAGCTCTATCGCAACACAGCAAGATATTTACAATCGCATTGCAGATGCAAGACGAGAAGCCTGCGAAGGCCAGAGTAGCATTAATGCGCTTGCTAATCAACTTTTCAAGGAAGGATTCTGGAGTCAATTCCAAACAGGTCCAGATGACAGGGTCAAAGCTGTTCTATTCGCCCATCCTGATTCAGTATTTTACCTTCAGTCTTACCCGGACGTGCTTATACTGGACTGTACATATAAAACAAATAAATACGGAATGCCGCTTCTTGATGTGATTGGGGTCGACGCTTGCCAGCGGTCCTTTTGTATTGCCTTTGCATTCCTGGGCGGCGAGACAGAAGAGGATTACATCTGGGCCTTGGGTCGCTTAAACATGCTATTCGAAAGTCGCAATATTAAGCGTCCTGCTGTCATTTTAACGGACCGTTGTCTCGCTTGTATAAACGCTGTTGCCACCTGCTTCCCGTCCTCAGTTTCGCTTTTGTGTCTTTGGCTTGATCCATACAAGGAGAAGCTTGTTAAAGCCTGGGTTGATCAGCATCTTCACCTCGACAACGTGGTTACTTCACGAGTTGAGGGCATTCATGGATTGCTAAAAAGCCATCTGGAAGTATCCACCCTAGACTTGTTCGAAGCTTGGAGAACAATAAAGCTGGTATTAGCAAATCAACTAGTTGAGTTAAGGTCCAACCAGGCTAAGCAGCAAATTCGCACTCCAATTGAACTTTCTGGAGCATTATATAGCACAGTCCATGGCTGGGTATCGCACCAAGCTCTGCGGAAAGTCGAAGAACAACGAAAGTTGTTGCTGAAGAAGGATCCGCCTCCGTCGCGGACTTGTACCGGGTCTTTTACTCGATCGCAGGGCCTACCGTGCGTTCACAAGCTAGATGCTTTGTTGGCACAAGGCCATGCACTGCAACTAGAAGATTTCCACACACACTGGCGTCTGATACGGAAAGACACTCCCAGGCTACTTCTCGAGCCTCGTAAACGTGTCGACTCGATTGTGACAAATTCAACGTTACCGTTGTCAAGCGTCCGAAGAGCGCAAAGCGGCTTTGAACTGGTCGAGAAAACAACGGCGGTCAGGCCGCCTTTATGCAGCAAGTGCCATAGACTAGGTCACACAAGGTCGTCCAGGGAATGTCCTCTGAAATATGTAGAGCTCGAAAGCCAAATGCCTACCGTGACAGGACACAGCCGGTCAAACTCCCATCAAAGCAGACCAATTACGACCTCAGAACAGCCACACGTATCGTCAACAGTGTCAATGCCTCTGCAGCAAGGACCAGGTCTATCTTCTGAAAACATGCTGTTGGGGCCAGGGTTGACCCCTGAAGGGCCAGTTTGTCGGACGGCAATTAGTCCAGAAACCGGCAGACAAGGGAAAAGCACTGAGGGACAGTCGACGCAGCTTTCAACAGAAGCTACAGTTCGATCGCTGGGATCACTTGGTCACACGTCATCACCTCTTCAAGGTCCTGTGTCACTTGGAGCATTGAGGTATGATGACCCGCGTGCTATACATCGAAGATATGTCTCAGCGAGAGAGGCTTGGTACAAAGCTCAGCGCC